TATTGTTGTTTTAAAGTTAGATAATAATTTTAATGGGTTGGAATTGTGTCATTTAAAAAAACCCAAAGCCAAATGTGAATTTTTATTGTGATGTGAAACCTCTGCATTGAAGCTGAGTGTGTTTACAGCATCCGAGGGGTAATTAAATTACAATGCAGAACTCCAGTGCTGTAAATTAAATTTTACACCGTCTTGGGCAATTATAGAGCAATTAAGTAAGAATCTATTTGTCAGTACAGGCTGCTAGACACATGTTACTCCGGCAAGAAATCGCATGGGGGTTTTCTGACAAACCTCATTATGTTTCAAGCTGGTGGTATGATTTGAAATGTGTACATTTAACCACGCACCCACTTCCATCTCACAGAGTGTGCTCCATTTTCACAAACACAATTCGCTTGAATTATTGTCATCTAAAATCCCACCATGCTACAAGAAAGAGCAGGACTAATTGCCTTTGAGTTGCGGCAGTGGTGTTTTCGATACTTGTTTGTGCCAAGCAATAGGTTAAAAGAAAACGCGATTCGTCGGTATTTTTTGCACATTTTAAATGTTTCTTAAGATAGTGGTACCAGCGTTCACGTGTGGTTAGTTTTTGTAACGTTTGGCACGGAAACATTTTTATTTCCCCGTGGTGATCAATAACGTGCCGTGCAGTTTGAACTTCGAACCCACTGCCAGCAACGGGAACTGCCGACCACAGATCCATCTTATAGCGTTGCCAACAGCGAATCTTTCCTCCACAGCATGACGTTAGGTTTTCTTAAATGTTTTTCCCACCATTGGCATTCAAGCGCAGACTTGTTGCTGAACGTTGAGCGAGTATGCAGCCCATATCCTCTTAGCATGATTGATAGTTAGGGTTTTTTTTTTGGTGGTTGGATCGCGTAGGGTATAATGCACTTCGGTGATGCACCCTCAACCACTCGACTCAGCCAAACAATTCAAGTTGTCACCCAGACACAAGTGGCAATTGATTTATTTTGTATTTTTCAGCGACTCGGTACAGAATGTTGAAAAAGCGAGCAAAATTTTACTAAATATTTCTCGACTCTTTTTACTGGAGATTTCATCCAGCATCATTAGGTGGCAGCAAGAGCCCAGACCTGAAACACGAGGTATGAAATAAAACATTTTTGTAGCCTGCTTCATGCTACAGGGAGGGAAGGGTGGGTAACAGCTGTAAGGAAAAGCCATCACTGGTGATTAATCACGTGACCTTCTGAACCCACGCTGACCCTCACTGAGCATATGGTGTCAGCTATAGAGTCAATATACATTGAGTAGAACATGCAAACATGCGTGCCGCAGAGGTCTGCTTAATTAAGATACTACCTGATCAGCAGGGCGGGAGAAAAAACAATCGTGTCAGGGATATTTAACGACCCCGACACAAGCAAACGAAAGCAACAGAGCGAACGCAATGGCTAACAACTTGTAACCACAAGCATTCTGGTCATAATGGAATTAGATGCGGTACACGTTTTGTTTGTTTGTGCATTTAATACACTTCGCAATATTCAAACTGGCGGTCATCTGGATCTTTATATACGGTATATATATGGGTACATTTACAAACATGCATATAAGATCGATGCCTTGATTTGCACACTGCACTTTGAAATTAGCGACCTTAGTTTGATTCCCCGCCATAGCTAACACGATTCGCAGTGGTATCTGAACCAGTCTTAGAACACTCCCTTTCACCAACCTGCACTGACCAGTGTGGTGAAGTATGGTCAAATGACCTCCATAACCGACGCTGTGTGGAGAGGCTGTCATACAGTAATGGATTGGCAAAGGGCTGCAAATTATGTTTTATTTTTAAGGTAACATTTATTCTGCGGGGACCTTTATTGATATTGAGAGGCCTGTGTGCAATCTATAACGGCGGGAAGACAAATGCATTGTTATTTTGCAGTGCCAAGTCCTGCTGTGAGAGCATTGCAAGTTTGTTCTTAATTTCCCCTTGAAGTATTTGCCAGTAAAACATATACATCGAGGCTTTAAATCTGTTAGCGTTCACAAATGTAAGCATTGCTCAGTGCTCTCATGCTGGCTTTCATCCGAGCGCGTCACACGGATGATGCAGTGCAGTTTTTCTTCTTGCAGAAAGGTGAACTAGCTCATAATTAAGTAAATGCCACGCTACATTTGTGAAGGATACAAAATTAGCCACCGTTTCTAGATTATCGGCCGCGTACGTAGCGAACGCCAGGCGACGGTGGCTCTGCTGCACGTGGCTGCCTGCAATGCAGCACTGTGGAGGCAGCGAGGGTATGGGCACCACACTCGTACGGTAATCCACCAACCCTTGCGTGGTGGATCACCGCGCTAGTGACGTGTGGACTCCCTTCCCGCGGCGAAGTGGTGCCGTGCCCTTGCTCGCCAGGAGAAGGCGGTAGAGCAAGTGGACTTAGCGCCATCTGTTTTCACCTCGAGAGGTTTTCTGCACGTGCTCCGGTTTCGTGCCACGTGTAGTCGAAACACTCGACGTTAATTGGCTCAAGATATCTTCAAAGAAAAAACACCCACAATGCAGCAGGATCCTCCTGGGAAAAAGTTCTGTAACTCAGCGCGGCTCTTTTGGGTAATTAAGTCACACTATTTGGCGTGGAACAACACATCGATTCGTGAATTAACATCGATTTTAAGCTCACGAATACATGCTTCACACGGGTAAGATTTTCGTTTTCTTGGTTCTTTCAGTAAAGTCACGTAGAAGGGAAATAATAAAATAATAAAAATAAAACATAATAAAATAATTCTCACGACGTTTTGGCCACAACGCAAGCAGCCGTCCTCAGGTGAAGCAACAGGTCTGTCGGGAAGACGCTGAAGACGCTGTCTTCCCGACAGGCCTGTTGCTTCACCTGAGGACGGCTGCTTGCGTTGTGGCCGAAACGTCGTGAGAATTATTTAATGATGTTTTATTATTATTATTTAATTATTTCCATTCTACGTGACTTTACCGAAAGAACCAAGAAGATGAATCCCTGCAGTCACGAAAGCTTTAAATCGAAATTTAAGATTTTGGTGTTTTAGTTCACGAGAATTCCGGCGGGCGGTGGCCGCCTTATTGTAGCACCTGCAGAGGGCTTCACGGCGCTTCGTGCCTTGCCCGTCGCCTCCACTGATGCCCCCTTTTCACCCCACCCCCAATGTATACAGATACTACTGACCGTATTGTATGTATGGCGTGTAAACTATTTGACTGTCCTGGCCTGCCAGTGTGTTATTTTTTGATGGTTATTAGCCTACAAAAGAAATGTATTTTTTATTTGGTGGGGTGGGGAGGAGTAAAACAATGTTTGGGGGAGGGGGGGAAGGTCGACAATTGTTGTAAACCTTCACTATTGGAACCTCATTTGCCAGTAAAAAATATGATAATTGTTTTTTCACCCTTCTATCTGGCAACAAAACTGACACCTTTTTTACAAGGAGTCATGTTTGCATAGACCACAATACCTGCAGTCATAATGCAAACAAAAAACATAACTCTGATGATGTATGCACTGTCCTTTCGCGTCATCTGGTCCAACCCATGTGAGACTAGGCTCTAAGGAAAGCTGTCTCGGGTGTGGACCAATCAACTTCAAGGACAGTGCATACATCATCAGAGTTATGTTTTTTTTTTGCATTATGACTGCAGGTATTGTGGTCTATGCAAACATGACTCCTTGTAAAAAGGTGTCAGTTTTGTTGCCAGATAGAAGGGTAAAAAACCAATTATCATGTTGTAAACCTGTTGGATCAACTTTTTAACCCCACATCTGGGGGAAGGTGGGGGGGGTCCACTTTCTATAACTTATTGATTCAGGCCTTCTGAAAGGCTCTCTTAATTTAGTTGTCTATGATTTATTCACATGGCATCTGCAGCTACGAGTCATTGAAAGAAGGGGGTGAGGGCTGGAGGAAGGGTGGGATCATTCTACCCGAATGCTCACGTATGCATGCATTATTTTTTTAAGTCTCTGGGTAAGTTGTTTTGTCATGCAAGGCATGCAAAAGAACCAGACGTTTATAAATGCTAGCCGTGTAGGCTGATCATAAAATAAATACGTGCATCGCTCCCAATACCGGCTGCATCGATGCACAATTAATTCCAGCTTGCGCCTGTCTGTGCCCAGCATCGTATTTTCAAGGTCAATGGACAATAACGGAAAATGTCTGGGGCTTGTTTCAATATGCATTATTCCTCGTCAGATTTCAGGTCTTACTCGCCTGCATATAGCTTAGTTTCGCGCACGCTTTGCTAAACATAAGTTATTCATTGCCTCTGTGCCGCTCGCTTCATAAGCCAGGAAAATTGTGATGCGTATCCACATTTCCCCGCAAACTATTCGACTGCCCTGGCACGCCAGTGTGCTGTCGTTGCGTTATTTTTAATGATGCAAAATGCTAAAGCGCAAAGTCGTTTATTTGCCATTACTCCGGGCAGGCTCATGATTGTAATTTGGATAGGAAAATAGCACAGCTGTCGGCATCCATCAGCTGGGCTTTGTGCTGCAAAGCTGCCCTGCATGCGCCTCACAATCGGCACAGAGACAATGGGCGAGGCCCCAACGGTGGCTCATCGTATATTAGCACAATTGAAGTGTGGGATGCGCACATACATGATTATCACTCCAGCCTGCGAATGCCAAAAAAAACGATGTTGTGGCAGGTGAAGGATATGCACGGAAGGGACATGCGGGAGGGGTGGCTCAACATCGTGGGCTAAATCGGACTGAATAATGAATGCAAAATTGCAAATAGCAAATTTAAATTGGATGGTTTTATTTTTCTGCCCGCTTGTGTTGCTTGGAGAAAAAAAGTATTTAATTGAAAAATGGTTCGTGATTTGTAATCTCATTTTGTGTTCAACTTTGTGTTGGTATACCCGGCAGTCACGTGTCGTTTTGTTTGTTTAACAGTACAATTGAAATGACGTTATAATCGCGACTGTTGCCGCTGCTTAAATGACCATGAATTAAAAGCTTGTTTTCTTGTTTTCACAGCCTGAAAATTTTGATCTGAAAAACCATGTACAAAGGGTCCCATCTCAAGTACAGACGAATAAACAACGCATATGTAGGTAACCGCCATTACAGGTGAGCTTCTTGTAACATGGTTAATGTGCACTGGGTCGAGCTCAACCAGTAAACCGCACACACACGAGCCCAAAACGTTGCGCTGCTCTTTACTCAAGTGGGAGTACGCGTGGCGGTCATTGCCAGGGACTGCGAAACGCCTGGCAGGACCCTCCTGAAAATGAGTCACGAGCGAGGCTTTCCTGGGTAAACAAACATCATGATAATCATCGCGATCCACAGGCAGATAGCTCGTAAGTGTCGACTGAAAATTTCATCATTTGTTTCCACTTTCCTCTGTCTTGTGCCAATATGATCAAGTGTGTGCCACAGTTTCGATTTAAAGCTTTCGTGACTGCAGGGATTCATCTTCTTGGTTCTTTCGGTAAAGTCACGTAGAAGGAAAATAATAAAATAATAAAAATAAAACATAATAAAATAATTCTCACGACGTTTCGGCCACAACGCAAGCAGACCTGTTCTCCACCTGAAGACGGCTGCTTGCGTTGTGGCCGAAACGTCCTGAGAATTATTTTATTATGTTTTATTTTTATTATTTTATTATTTTCCTTCTACGTGACTTTATCGAAAGAACCAAGAAGATGTGTGCCACAGCTTTCTGGCACACATCTCTTATGTCGTCGTCAAGCCCCATTCTCTGTTAGGTCTTCCTCTCTTTCCGCTTCCTTAAAATGTTTTCGAACAACAACAAACTTTTAATTTTCCGTTTGTTGTCCATCCTCGATATGTGTCCAATTAGTGCCATTTTTCTTCTCATCACCACCTTCATCTTTTTTTTCACTTCTACGTTGGTCACTCTTTGGATCCAGCTTAAACATAATAGCAGTAATAATACATTAAGGTTTTAAAGACATGCGTTTCCAGTGGTGATGCAAAGTGGCACACACGATGGCACGACAATAATTACGTACAGCCCTTTGTGAACCCATTGCTGGATGAAGGAAGTTGTTTGATCACAATTCACCGCACGTGCGCGTCGGTGTTTGTTGGTGTCAAACGTGCCATTCAGATACATCGCCCCACTCACCGCTAATAATATTAGCTGTGGCGGGGGAATCGAACTCGTGTCACCAGGTTGAAAGGGTAATGCACAAGCGCCCCCTCCACCACGCCACATCTCCGCACGACGCACCGTTTGACACGACGCTTTATTTCCCTGTGGGGTGAAAGCGAGAGCCGTAGGTTGAGATTGCGTGGCGCGCGGCACGCTGGCCGCCGTCGATTGGCTCCGATGATCCGTGACGTTGGAATTCACGGCTCGCTTACCTTCACCTGGCCCGCGCAGAAGCCTGCGCCCTAACGGCGTCGTTTCTCATTCGGCTCCTTTCGTGGAACTTGCTTTTATTGTTTCCGCGCTAATTCACGCGTTTGTAATAACGCGTGTACAGTCGGAAACGTAAACTTGAATGTGGCAACGAGCCGATTTACAATGTCTTCCAGCCCATTGCCCCAGACTTAATTGCTACTCTCTGTTCCCCGGTAGCCGAGATAAATAAAAAGTTAACTTGGGCATTTTGTTTGGCTAACGAATGTTATTTTCTCTCAGCTTGGCACATTAACAGGGATATGTAAAAAAAAGAAAAAAAAGTTTTTACCATTGCCGTGGTTTTGTTTCTTCACACCAGGAGGCTTTGTAATGCCGCAAGTTTAATGCCTTGCCGAGGTTCATGAAAAAAAATCCACACACACGGCTCCGTGACGAAAAACATTACCTACGAGTAGAGGCTCATTGTCGCATACATGTTTTGAATGTCATTGCACCTCAATAAGTCTATTCCCATCAGATGTTTATAAGATCGCAGACAAGTCGCCGACTCTGAGCCTATATGACCTGTTATTGGATCATGTAATGTTATTCTCATGCTATACAAAGACAAAGATCCCCCTATAGCCTTGGCAGGCTGTTGGGGCAAGTGCTGTTAGCGAGCACCTATGAAGGCCGGCACGGCACACGAGGGGGTGGGTGGCTAGCACCACGCCCGGCCGCCTTTGTCTCCCTATTTGCGATGTTTACACACCGCACTAGGTACTCATTTGAGGTTGAGTCGACTTAGGGGAGGTCCAGAACCGGTTCAGGTAATCGTCACTGGTGTTGGCGGTGAGCGGGAATCAAACTCGGGCCGCCGGGTTCATACCGCAGCGTGCTAACTGCTACACTATCGGTCCCCACCCATATACGCCCGCACACACACTATATCATGGGGTTCATAGGCAGGTTGGTGGAGCAGTGGTACAGTGGATAGGGCACTGCATTCTGAACCTAACCGCCTGAGTTCAATTGCCGGGGATCGATGGCGAGTGATATCTGAAGCACCGGACCAGCGTGGTGAAGTACGGTCAAACAATGCCCATGATCAGCAGAGTGCAGGGAGCAACCTTCATTTAGCAGTGGATCGACAAATGGCTGTAGACAATTGGTTTAACCGTACGAATTCGATATTTGTCCTTTATGTCATCACTTGGTGCTCTGAACGCTAAAGGTGTCCTATTTGTCCTTTTGAACCTTACGTTGTTATTTTTTTTTAAATGTGTCAGTCATGAAAAACTTTGCAAGATGAAAGAGCTTCGCTAGAGATGCGGCAGTCACTCTTGAGCCATTTGTCATTTGCTCATGTGTTTGATTATGACTGAAACTACGCTTGTTCACCCAAGAGAGCGTCACTGAGTCTCAAAACTCCTTTTCAGAAGGGTCATGGCAAATGTTCCCCAGTAGGGGGGGGCGATGTTGCTGCGTGTAATCCCAATTGAGTAATTTTCAGGCACATTTTCATCATTGGGATGTTTTGCCAATACCGGTTACATCGTGTGATGTGTTTTTTTTTAATGTATGTACGTTGAACTTATTTCGCACCGTACGTAGCCAACCGTACTAATCGGAGCTGCGTAGGACAACAAACTAAAAGGGGAGAAAACCCATAAGAACCCACGCGGAATTGGAGTAGAACGTACAAATTGTGCACGGAAAGGCGCCCCGAGTTGGGCATCGCACCCATGATGTGTTTTGCCGAGAGGCACGAGCTTTTTCCGACCGAGCCATCCTGCCACACCGACGACTCGAGTGAAACTACAAGGCACTCTCGATGCATTTTGTCGCAACCTTTGGGCGGCGAGAAAGGCGCACCGCACTCGCCGTCAATGGCTGCTAATTCGTACACGCGATTCCTCGCAGTGTGTTCAAAATGTGGAATGGTGAGTGCCCCACTGAAAGGACTGTTGAACAATAACATTGAATGGATTATTTCAAATCCAATTGAGCCCGACTGGCAGACTTGTCTGGCAAGCGACTGTAAAATTGGCCACACAGAAAATAAAAAAAAAATGACAAAATGACAAAATCACTCGCATGCAGCGGCAATGCGGACGGGAGCGCTGTTTTCTTTTCACGAGGAGCCACACGCTGCCCAGTTTTATTTTCAAGGATCTCACAAAGTCATTTTGAACAACTTTTGGATGGAGGCGGGGGGGGATAAAATACAATCCATATGTTTTCTTGGCTCCGCAATGCACAGTGCCGGCCAGAGTATTGCAGATGTTGATTTGGGTTTACTATCTCGTATTTTGTGAAGTAAAACACTACGTTATTAATACCTGTGGGTTGTTGCACACTCAAAAGTTCCTGCCTGGTAGAGGAAATCTTTGCGAGTAAAAAACAACTTGTGCGTCCTTAGAGCTCATATGTTTGTTGTTGTAACTGTTGTTTTCCACGTGCCATTATTTAGTTCGCAATTTTATTACGATGTTTCTTATATTGACCTACGGCAGTTACTGACAATGAATAGAGACCAAGATCACAAAATAGAGCCGACCAAACGGCAGGGCTTTTGTTAAATGAATTTGAGAATGAACAGCGGTTATCATGCCACAAAGTTTCGATTTAAAGCTTTCGTGACTGCAGGGATTCATCTTCTTGGTTCTTTCGGTAAAGTCCCGTAGAATGGAAATAATAAAATAATAAAAATAAAACATAATAAAATAATTCTCACGACGTTTCGGCCACAACGCAAGCAGCCGTCCTCAGGTGAAGAACAGGTCTGTCAGAAAGACAGCTGAGGTCGGCTGCTTGCGTTGTGGCCGAAACGTCGTGAGAATCATTTTATAATGTTTTATTTTTATTATTTTATTATTTTCATTCTACGTGACTTTACCGAAAAGAACCAAGAAGATGCCACAAAGTGCCCGGTTTTAGTTTTGAACCGTCACTTATGGCCAGCCGTGTCACACCGGGATCCAGAACACGGACACCGACAACAAAGCAAATGGAAAGACGGGCTGAAATGTGTGCACGGAGGGATGCGAGCTTGCAATTACATAACGGGACGGCAGACGCTTCAACCGGAGGACCCATTGCAAATTTGAGACGCCATTTTGACCCTTAAAAAAACAAACATTGCTGGGCTTGGGGAATGGCACATTGCTATGGAGGGGATAGTGGCCGATGGATGAGACAGGAGATGATGTGGCAGCCAAAGGAAAGAAAAACTTGACCGAGAGTTGACCTCCGTTCAGATGGAGTGATGGGAACAGTTCCCACGGACGAGTGAGATGGATCGTGGCATTCGCAGGACTGTGAGGAATGGTGACGGGCACCTGGATGCCTTCGTCCAGCAGTTGGATAGGCCATGGCTATTGATGGTGATAAATTACAAGTGTTAAAACTATCTCGTAACACGGACAATAAATATAAGTAGACAAGCAAATACGTGCATAATGCATTATTATTATTATGTAGGGAGTCCTAATACAAAATGAAACGGAGGCACATTCCGAATGGATAAGGTCTTAAAATGCACGTAATTTTCATACAGAGTTAATGTCGAAATAAAGTAATGATGACAATCATGGCCCCATGAATGCCATCGCTGCCGATGGCATTGCGAAGTCGAATATTGCATTCACTAGCAGAGAGTTGTACCTGTAAATATCCGCCCTGAGGCCAATACAGTCTTTTGAGTTGGATATTTTTTTTTTCAGTGAGGTTGCCTTAAATGGAATTGTGTAAAGTGTTGTGCATTTTTGATGCGAAGCTCTGTGTGTGTTTTTTATGTAAATGTAATTACAGGCCAGCGATATCAGACTTTTCGTCCTGAGACGGCGGGCTAGAGATTTGATCCAGACGTCTTGTCTCCTTGCACGCCTCGAGGATGATGAAGCTACGCCTCCCGGTCCTGTTCCTCTCGCTGCTGCTCAGCGTCTTCTTGCTGCTGAGCGTCGAGTACAAGTACAGCTGGACGGGCTCCCTCGTTCGCGTCCTCGACGTGCTCGGCAACTCGTCCGTCTTCAGGCCAAAGTCGGGGTCTGCTTCCGATAAGATCAACCACGTGACGCTGTGCGGCCAACGGGGAGCGCTGCAGAACACGTCGATCATGCGCGTGCGCGACACCAAGATATTCCTGGTGTCGGCGTACCACGACCAGCGCGAGGCCGGTCAGAGCACACGCATCATCGGCATCGCCAACCGGTACGAGCCGGACATGCTCTCCTGCCACTTCTGCTGCCGGGGACACTCGGAGATCCTGACGGTCACCGCCAGCACCTACATCCACTCGGATCACTTTGACTTCCCGTACGGCACGGCCGATTTCCTGTGCATGGAGCCGCTGGACTGCGAGCCGGGACACGTGTCCGTCCAGCGCATGCGCACAATACCGGACGAGGAAGAGGCCGAGTGGGTCTTCATGCCCGTGCGAAATCGGCTCTACATGCCCCCCACCTTCACGCAGGAATTCAGCGTCTGCATCTCCACACTCTTCGGTAACTACAGCAACGTCCTGCAGTTCGTGCAGGCGATCGAAATGTACCGCATCTTGGGTGCCGGCCGCGTGACGGTGTACAACACAAGCTGCAGCTCTGAGCTGAACAAAGTGCTCCTCTACTATGTCAAGACCGGCCTCGTCGAGGTCGTCCAGTGGCCCATCACGGACTACGTGCAGGTGTCCAAAGGGTGGCACTACCCCGAGCACCCGGGCGAGCTGCACTACTACGGCCAGATAGCGGCGCTCAATGACTGTGTGTATCGGCACATGTACAGCACGCGCTACCTGGTCCTCACGGACATCGACGAAGTGATCATGCCTTTGAAGCACACAAACTGGAAGGACCTCATACAGTACTTGAACGACAAGTACGGAGCCGACATTTACATGTTCGAAAACCACGTGTTTCCCTACACGGTGTCGGAAGAGTTTGGGTCGAAGTTCCAGGCGTGGAACGCCATCCCGGGCGTCAACATCATGCGCCACATCAGACGGGAGCCGAACCAGCCGGAGGTCTTCAACCCGACCAAGATGATCCTGAACCCGCGCGCGGTGCTGCAGACGTCGGTGCACAGTACGCTCAACGCGCTGGGCATCTCGGAGACGGTGCCCGGAGACACCGCAATCATGCACCACTACCGATCGCCCGAGCAGCCCGACCTGCCGCTCGACTCGCTGGTCGTGGACCTCACGCTGTGGAGATACAATGCCACTCTGATCAGGAACGTCAACAAGGTCCTCAACAGGGTCTTCTGGAATGAGTAGGAACAACGGGCGGCGGTGGCGGCGGCGTTGATTGCCGTGTTGCGTTTTTTGCGGTCTTGCAATTTAAGTTAAACACTGGTGTTTGTGAGTTTCCGGTTTGCGAATGTGGTCAATGTATGGGACATATTTAATTGCTAATCTTATGATTGTGTTTACAGTTAAAATTTGTTATCTTAAATTTTTTCTGCATTTTAATCCACCAGGGCAAAATAGGGTTTGTATTGGTAGGTTTTATGGAAGCTAGGGAAGTTAACGGTGGTTCCAGGTTTATTTTAAACCAATCCTAATTATTTTTTATTGCTTTTGGGAGTACGACTTTGACATGTTTTCAGGTTAAAACATTAAAAATGTGGCACAAATTGATTTAAATAAATGTTCAGTGTGTATGTGCTACCAGTCTCTAATGAGCTTATTGTTTTCATGACTCGTGTCCACGGAGGATAGTCAAATCCCAGCGGATGGTGTCAGGATTTTAAAAAGTAAATCCTGTGGTGATAAACAAAAAATGTAAATACGATTTTAAACTTTGAATGAGGGATAATTTGAATGACGGGTGTGTTTTGGGCCAAATGAGCTAGTAAAGACTCACATGAAACATTACAAATAGATTCGGTAGGAATATATATTTATACATCCAAATGTATATAGTTGTATATTTGAATATGTAACGACACCAGCTGTTGATACATACAGCTCATTTTAAATTATAAAGCCGTGTTAATGTATTCCTAAACAATGCATGGAGTTGACATTTCTGAATTGTTGCATTAATTAGTTTCACGATGGATTATTCAGCAGAAATCATCATTATCACGTATTATCAATCTTGCGAACCAGTTTTGAACATATACAGCAAAATGCTATTACTATAATTAATATATTAATGTCGGAGAAGTTTTTTTTTGCTCTCAATCTGATTAAGGGCTGTGTGCCACCATCGCAGTTTAATCACTGCTGAAACATATTTCATTACTTTCAATCACACACTCATTACTAGTCCGTGACATGCCTTGCTTTTGAAAGCGATTGTGAGATACCCTATCTGTACCTTTTTTATATCGAGTTTACATCTGACTGTTTGTAAACATCTGTTTAAATTACATGCCTCTAAAATGAGTTTCTGATTTACATAAACACATGTATCTTTTTTTATTACTGATCATATGTCTTCTTTAGTCAAATGACAAACAGGTCATTTATATTTTCTCCACGACACATACCGATAGTCAATAAATGAATACATTGATAAATGAATTCATAATTGTTTCTCATATCCTCTTAAATAAATGGTACCTAGCATTTAAAACAATTCTGCGGAAAATGTACATGTGGTACATTAACCTGCAGTTTCAATTTTGAAAGGAGTGGCGTGCATTTTTTTAGAGCTCCAGGTCATGTACAACATTGAAGGTTTGGACCCATGAACATTCATCTCAAGTTGCTGAGCAGAGTGGTAAAGAGATGTACTTTTAATGGAGAACTGAGCATATGCTTGAACAGACAGTGAATTGTCTTTTCACATGTTTTCATTTTTTACTTCCACTTTGCGTGTCAGTCGCTTTGGCTGTTGGCACACAATGCCTTTTTTATTTGCTTAAAATGAAAATAAATCAATCACTCTTTGATGTGAACTACTTCTATATATGATCAATTTGTCACATTTCACAATTTTCAATGCAGAAGTTTGATGGGATATCATGCAATTTGGCTCTAATGGCTTGGGATTGAGATAAAGGAATCGAGTTGTATTCTTAGTTTCTTTGCACATTGAGGTGATGGCATTGTTGATAAGATAACGCTCTTGAACTTTGTTTGTTCAAGTTGCCCAAAACTGCTGATGACAAGTATTGTGTTTGCTGCAAGAGCACGCACGCACATTATGTCTTACTTTAAAACGAAGAAGTTCGGATTGTAATTGTTATATGTTATGGTTATTTAAATTGACAATGTTGCCATAATATATTGCTAGTTCGCTGCGTACGCACCTGCGATCTGGTTTTAACTCGGTTATATTAAGGTCACTGGCAAAATCACAAAAACAATACAAATAGTTAGGTATTAGCTATAATGGTGTGAATTGCATATTTAAAATGAATTCGAAGTTTTACATTTATTATTCGTTTTTTCATTAATTACCCCATTTTACTGAGAATATGGCAGCTGTAACAAGTATATGCCATTAAATAATCTACCTAATAAATGCCACGTGGTACGTTTGGGTGTTAAATAACTTTTTAAAAATCCACATTTATATATACATGTATAAAAAACAGAGCCTATTGAAGATTTTTTTTTACATAAAAGCAGCAGATAAGGTTTACGAACCATGCCTTTTTTTGAAATCCACAAATAACTGGAACTCATAATAACTGGACATTGAAGGCTTTTTTTTCAAAAATGCACATCATACAAAAGAGTGGTATCGATTATGCTCTAATTGACGAGGTTGCAATTACGATCACCGTTGATAACCTCAACAATTGTTGAGCAATCACTGTGTTCCATGCACGGTTGTTGATTACAGGTATCCCTCGATTTTCGAACGTTCAGTTTATGAAATTTTTGCGTGAACGAAATTGACAACAACAAAATTATGTATTCTTAGATTTTTTCCGTTAAAGTGACGTAGGTAAAAATTTTAAATTAATAAAAGTAAAATAAAATAAAAATAAAAATCACGACGTTTCGATTGCAACACAAGCAATCATCATCAGGTATAAATGAAATAGCAACAAAAAATTCTAACCAGAAAAACTATAGACAGACATATAAGCAGACAGATATCACCAAGATACATAGAGAGAGAGTAACACAGGTACAGAGAGGGAGATCGTCTCTGTTGAGTGGCCTTAAATAGGCAGAGGGGGCGGGGGCAGAGAGATGGAGGGGGTTAGATACAAAATTAACATGTCAATGAGTGCGGAAAACGCGTAGTAATGTAAGCAAATTTGAACATTAGGCCACTCAACAGAGACGATCTCCCTCTCTGTACCTGTGTTACTCTCTCTCTATGTATCTTGGTGATATCTGTCTGCTTATATGTCTGTCTATAGTTTTTCTGGTTAGAATTTTTTGTTGCTATTTCATTTATATCTGATGATGAATGCTTGTGCTGCAATCGAAACGTGATTTTTATTTTATTTTACTTTTATTAATTTTAATTTTTTACCTACGTGACTTTACCGAAAAAACCTAAGAATATGAATCATTGCAGTCACGAAAGCTTCAAATCTCGAACAAAATTATGGTCACTGTTCGGTCACACAAAAAAAACCCATCGAATTTCCTTCCGTGTTCATGAAATGTCACGCGGCACGCGCCATGAGATCAAACACGAAGCAGCGGGCAGGTTGCGTCATCCATAGAGATGGTATCGCTATCTCTGTGGTGCGGTGATGGTTGAGTGACTTTCATAAATGACGTCACGCACCTAGGGGGGAGAGGGGGGCGGGGTCAGACATTTGCGACGATGTGTGACGATGAGGGGGGGTCACATAAAAATGCGCAACTTTAAATAAATATAGACAACACGTTCTACTTAATTAAATAGACTTTTTGATACATGTTTTCTCTTACAACATCAGAGTGCAGCGCCGCATAAAATACGCACTACAATGACAATACTTTAAAGCGATTTGAAGCATGTTTTCTTTTGGGGGGGGGCAGAGCTTTGTGACGTCATTTGAGAGGGGGGTCTGACTTTTTGTGACGCCGTGTGACTAGGAGGGAGGGGGTAAAAAATCGTCCAAAATCGAGTGACGTCATTTATGGACGGCCCCTTTGTACATTTTCAAAAGCAGTGGTAATTATCATTCAATCCATTTACGTCCATCGACGCCATGATGAGTTCGAAAAAGGATTTCGTCTACAGCTGTCAAAGGTGTTAAGATTGGTCGAATAAGCTACGGACATCCTCAAAGACAATGACCCAAATATGGAACGCGGCATGAATTGTTCTCACACGACGGAGAGTGGCTCTAGCGTGTGTTACAAGGAGCTGTACCAAACAAAGAGGAAGAAATCCTTCTGGATATCTCTCGATGTTTTCCTTAAAACTCGTGCACCAGCCCCCACACCCACGAAGATTCAGCCCAGCGATCGTCAACCCTCAACGCCTCAAAGAACCTCAACTACAACCCGATACGCAACAATAACGCCTCCGCATTTGCCTTCTCAGTCATTCCAACACGCTGTTCTTTTGGTGAATTCCCTGAATTGTGTCACTTTTTGTTTTCAATAAATTATGATTCAATCGTTTTCACATTAATGTTATTTATTGTTCTTTTAGTGTTGTGAAAAGTGATGTAGGTTGATTTGAGGCTTTCGTGACCGCAGGAATCCATACTCTTTGGTTCTTTCGGTAAAGTCACGTAGGTAGAAAAATCTAATAAAAAAATAAAAATCACGACGTTCCGATCGCAACACAAGCGGTCGTCACCTAAGTGGCTTTACCGAAAGAACCAAAGAGTAGTGATAGAGGTGTATATATATTTTTTTAATCTTAGGAAAAGAGTTGGAATGACTGGTTTGAAACACATTCCAAATTGTTTGCTTTAAGTTCAGGGGAAAAGCCATTTCGATTTACGAAATTTCGTTCAACACGTGTTTATTTGAAGCACGCATCCCTTTCGTAAATCGAGGTGTATCTGTATTGCATTGTCAGTCGGTGAGGCCAGAATGTTGTGGTGTTGGCATCACCGTGATTGACTCGTGGCTTTCAGCACTCTTCACCGAGTATTGTCTTCTAAATCCAAGTATAAAGTAGTTTTTAAAAATGCTTCGGGATAAAAATTTGAAACGTGTTTCTTTAACAAGTGAAAAGAAAAGGCTTAAACGCTAATGAAGAACAAATACTAACTGCCCTTGCATTGTCTTGTAACCAAAATATATTATTGCTGCAAAATGAAAAGATGATTGATCATGGCTTGTATATTATATATTTTTTACAGTACCCTGAAATTGCCAATTCAACATCTCCATTAAAAAAGGGTGTAATATAAGAATAAGAAAACATGTTCTTAAATGTATAGATTTGTCACGAAGTCTCTTTGCACACATTTTAATGACAAGTCTTGTACTAATCGAGTGTCATGTAAAATTGCAGTAAATTATATCGGTGTTGTCAAAAGAATATATCTTCATGAAGGTACGCTTTGTACTGTGTTCTAGAAAATAGTGACATTTTCTGTAAAAAGTGCAGAACAAAATGGTGTAAAATAAATGTGATCACATGAATTATTGGCAAAGTTGAACTATTTTACCTATTTTATGGGATTTCAAACTGATGGCTTAAGTCCAAGTACATGTTTTTCTACACATCTGTCTGACATTTGTTACATTTAACAGTTGCTCAAGGCAATGGATAGAGCACGAAGCAGTGAAATCTGATTTTAAAAATGTTTACGTTCCAGCAATTTTAACATCACTCATAAGACGAAGAATTATTTCGAATCTCAGAACATTACAAGCACTTCATATTAAACAAAGACCCGCAGAAGCAGAAATCACGGAGCTACCTATGAGATGACTTCAGGTGACCTCTGGTCCATTCACAGTAGAGGGCAGCACTTTCTATACCCGCTCAAGAACTTTTTTACTTCTTCAGAATTTAGTGCAGAACCTATTTCCATTTGAAGGTTTTTAAAATCCTTTATATTAAGTTTGCTTGCTTGCGCGCTTACGACCGTGCAAATCTTTCGGTCGTTTTTTAACCCACTTCCCGTGATCCAATCGAGCTGACATTTTGCACACAGACTCGTTGTGCATGACAATTTATTTTCGTGAAAAAATGTTTCTAAAATTTTACACTTTTTAGGAAAAAATAAATTATATTTAATTACCAATTGCTTAATGGTGGCAGGCAATCATCTGACCCATAGGTGGCAGCCATCTCAAGCCAGAGGACGAGAGGACTCTAGCCGCCACGCATATAAAGGATTTATAGTGAAAAACTTTGTTTTTACGGGTTCATTTTTTTTGTGTGCAGTCGTGGAGACCTGCTCTGAGACCATCCACTCACGGCACTCGAGAGCCCGGTTTAATTATAATAATCACTGGCAATTGGCTGGATTTGAACTCGTGGTCTGAACGGTGCGAGCTCGGCCTTTTGTGAATGGAGAGTCACTCGGCCACCTCTGTAAGATGCGTGGGTTCAGAGCGACCCTGAGACAAATCACTCGTGTCTATAGGATCACGCTAATGCAGACTGAGCTGCTGCAGCCCCTGCCCGCACACAACTGCGAACGCCATGGTACAGCACATTTAATTGTGAATTGTAGTATTTAAAAGTTTGGCAGATACGTTCACGATGGTGAAATACTCTTGAGCACATTGATGTATCTTCTTGGTTCTTTCGGTAAAGTCACGTAGAATGGAAATAATAAAATAATAAAATAATTAAAATAAAACATAATAAAATGATTCTCACGACGTTTCGGCCACAACGCAAGCAGCCGTCCTCAGGTGAAGAACAGGTCTGTCAGAAAGACAGCGTCTGGATTTAAATCGAAACCGCATTGATGTAGTTTACACGATTTAACTCAATGTGATGCCTGTGTTGTAAAATCACCGGTGAAGGTGAATAGCCAGCACTTCCAACAGAGATGCATACACACGAGGAATTGTTCTCATTTACATCTCCCTGCAACATCCTCCACTAAACTCCAGTATTTCTCAGAACTGTGGCTCCGCTCAACTGAATCTATCCCCACAGCCCGCCCCTCGGTCCCGATCGCCCTGTCTTTTCTGGTGGAACAGACCCTCAAAATGAAACCATGTTACTTTGTATATGTAGATAATGTGACTGTTTACATACCCACGGACAGTACAATGTGTGTACAACAAATACATGTGCTAAGGGGAGCGCATATGCTCATTTGCGGGTGAATCCCATTAGTTTACAAAGCCCATGATAAATGAGAATCATTTAATGCAGATTAATTTCATTTGGAAATTGAAATGAGAAGATTGAACTAGTTTTCTTGTCCTTTTGGCATCTCATGCCACGTTCTCATGACAAATAGGCAGTGAAGCTGGACCAATAACAGCACAACTTTGATAATTATCCAACTCGCTGGGCACTTTGGGATATGTGAAAAGGCCAGATATATAAACATCAATACGACATCATAATTACACCACCATGTATCAGAATACTTCAGAATCAGAATATTTATACTGGAGGAATCCGATGAGCTGTAAAGCTCTTTTCCACAGATGTCCGGTAGGGGTTGGTCAGAACGTTAAAACAACAATACAAAAAACTGAATCAGTGCAAAGTATAGCAAAGGTAAACAAATCACTTAAAATAATATAAAAAATAAACTTTTTTTCAAATC